TTTCTTATTCGTGAAGCAGAACCAAAAGGAATCACTTAGAGCAGTGGTTTCAACCTGTGGGAGGTGAAGCCTTTGGGGGTCAAATGACCCTTTCATAGGGGCCTTCTAAGACCATCGAAAAACACAAATATTTACATTATGATTCATAACACTAACAGAATTATAGTTATGAAGTAGCAATGAAAGTAATTTAATGGTTGGTGGCCCCCACACCGTGAGGAACTGTGAAAGGGTCACAGCATTGGGAAGGTTGAGAGTGGCTGGTTAGACAGGCAGGCAGGCTTTGGTCCCCACAGCACCAGGTGATCTAAGCCAGCTTGTAGTCATTCAAAAGTTCATTTCTGGACTCTGACAGCTCAGATCAGGCACCCAGCCTGCTACCCTCTTCTGCCTCCATGCCCTAGCATTGTCAAGGCACACCATGGACAAGGTCTTGTCATCACGTAGTTAATTTTCAGGGCTCAGGCAACACTTGCTCTCATGTTGTATTAGTATACCCCAGAGCAGCGGAGGGAAGGTTTCTATCTAGTACAGTCCACAGCAGACCTTCAGCCCAGCTTGCTGGCAAATCTGCCTTGCTTTATCTCTACCCCCCTGGGATCGGCTAAGACAAAAGCAAGAGATTCTCCCCGGCCTTTCCTTGCCTTCGGTTTGTCTTCTGCCCCTTTCACTATCATTTGAGATTCGCTAAAGCTCATTTTGGTACAGATGCAGGGCTCTGCTGTGGTTATCCCTTGAACTTACCTTTCTCACATGATAACTCTTGATAGTAGGAGCCTTCTGGACACAAGCAGAGTCTTTCGGTATGCAGGTTGACACAAGAAGCAGATCTTCCACAGGGGTTAAGCTTGCAATAATCAAGGCGACCTTGATTGGAGGAGAAAGACGTTACAAATTCACAGAACTCGGTCAGTAACTCCTGGTAATTCACGTCTGCTCTTCACACCCTCCTTCTAGACACACTTGTTTTTCTTTTGAGACATGGTCTCACTGTGTAGCCTTGGCTGTCGTGGAACTTGCTATGTAGACCAGGCTAGCCTTGAACTCACAAAGATCCACCTGCTTTTGCCTCTCAAGTGCTGGGACTAAAGGTGTGCACCACCACCCCCTGGCCTCCATACCCTTTTTCTATGACTCTACAACACATTCTTAGAAGGGCTGGAAACAGTCTGTTTGCTTCAGTCTTTGGGGAAGACCAATGCTACGGTTTCGGAGCTAAGTGCTCCCTGACGGTGAAGCTTAGAGATTGGTGGACAGAGCCCTGCTTGAGAACAAAGACAGCTTTCTAATCCCGAGGAGTGGAGAATCTTCAGAACTCTTCAGTGCTCAGGGACCTCAGTGCCTGCTTCTCTGCCACCAGGAAGGCCTCCCCAAACCCTTTTTAAAATATAGCAGCTTTTTACAGACTATTGTGGCAATGACCACACAGGGCAGGACAGCTGGAAGTCCCAAAGGGAAACAAGATGTCACGTTCTGATGAGCAGAGCCAGCACACATTCACNCGCAGATGTCTGAGATGGAGAAGCATCAGAAGTCGGGGACGTCGCAGATGTCTGAGATGGAGAAGCATCAGAAGTCGGGGACGTCGCAGATGTCTGAGATGGAGAAGCATCAGAAGTCGGGGACGTCGCAGATGTCTGAGATGGAGAAGCATCAGAAGTCGGGGACGTCGCAGATGTCTGAGATGGAGAAGCATCAGAAGTCGGGGACGTCGCAGATGTCTGAGATGGAGAAGCATCAGAAGTCGGGGACGTCGCAGATGTCTGAGATGGAGAAGCATCAGAAGTCGGGGACGTCGCAGATGTCTGAGATGGAGAAGCATCAGAAGTCGGGGACGTCGCAGATGTCTGAGATGGAGAAGCATCAGAAGTCGGGGACGTCGCAGATGTCTGAGATGGAGAAGCATCAGAAGTCGGGGACGTCGCAGATGTCTGAGATGGAGAAGCATCAGAAGTCGGGGACGTCGCAGATGTCTGAGATGGAGAAGCATCAGAAGTCGGGGACGTCGCAGATGTCTGAGATGGAGAAGCATCAGAAGTCGGGGACGTCGCAGATGTCTGAGATGGAGAAGCATCAGAAGTCGGGGACGTCGCAGATGTCTGAGATGGAGAAGCATCAGAAGTCGGGGACGTCGCAGATGTCTGAGATGGAGAAGCATCAGAAGTCGGGGACGTCGCAGATGTCTGAGATGGAGAAGCATCAGAAGTCGGGGACGTCGCAGATGTCTGAGATGGAGAAGCATCAGAAGTCGGGGACGTCGCAGATGTCTGAGATGGAGAAGCATCAGAAGTCGGGGACGTCGCAGATGTCTGAGATGGAGAAGCATCAGAAGTCGGGGACGTCGCAGATGTCTGAGATGGAGAAGCATCAGAAGTCGGGGACGTCGCAGATGTCTGAGATGGAGAAGCATCAGAAGTCGGGGACGTCGCAGATGTCTGAGATGGAGAAGCATCAGAAGTCGGGGACGTCGCAGATGTCTGAGATGGAGAAGCATCAGAAGTCGGGGACGTCGCAGATGTCTGAGATGGAGAAGCATCAGAAGTCGGGGACGTCGCAGATGTCTGAGATGGAGAAGCATCAGAAGTCGGGGACGTCGCAGATGTCTGAGATGGAGAAGCATCAGAAGTCGGGGACGTCGCAGATGTCTGAGATGGAGAAGCATCAGAAGTCGGGGACGTCGCAGATGTCTGAGATGGAGAAGCATCAGAAGTCGGGGACGTCGCAGATGTCTGAGATGGAGAAGCATCAGAAGTCGGGGACGTCGCAGATGTCTGAGATGGAGAAGCATCAGAAGTCGGGGACGTCGCAGATGTCTGAGATGGAGAAGCATCAGAAGTCGGGGACGTCGCAGATGTCTGAGATGGAGAAGCATCAGAAGTCGGGGACGTCGCAGATGTCTGAGATGGAGAAGCATCAGAAGTCGGGGACGTCGCAGATGTCTGAGATGGAGAAGCATCAGAAGTCGGGGACGTCGCAGATGTCTGAGATGGAGAAGCATCAGAAGTCGGGGACGTCGCAGATGTCTGAGATGGAGAAGCATCAGAAGTCGGGGACGTCGCAGATGTCTGAGATGGAGAAGCATCAGAAGTCGGGGACGTCGCAGATGTCTGAGATGGAGAAGCATCAGAAGTCGGGGACGTCGCAGATGTCTGAGATGGAGAAGCATCAGAAGTCGGGGACGTCGCAGATGTCTGAGATGGAGAAGCATCAGAAGTCGGGGACGTCGCAGATGTCTGAGATGGAGAAGCATCAGAAGTCGGGGACGTCGCAGATGTCTGAGATGGAGAAGCATCAGAAGTCGGGGACGTCGCAGATGTCTGAGATGGAGAAGCATCAGAAGTCGGGGACGTCGCAGATGTCTGAGATGGAGAAGCATCAGAAGTCGGGGACGTCGCAGATGTCTGAGATGGAGAAGCATCAGAAGTCGGGGACGTCGCAGATGTCTGAGATGGAGAAGCATCAGAAGTCGGGGACGTCGCAGATGTCTGAGATGGAGAAGCATCAGAAGTCGGGGACGTCGCAGATGTCTGAGATGGAGAAGCATCAGAAGTCGGGGACGTCGCAGATGTCTGAGATGGAGAAGCATCAGAAGTCGGGGACGTCGCAGATGTCTGAGATGGAGAAGCATCAGAAGTCGGGGACGTCGCAGATGTCTGAGATGGAGAAGCATCAGAAGTCGGGGACGTCGCAGATGTCTGAGATGGAGAAGCATCAGAAGTCGGGGACGTCGCAGATGTCTGAGATGGAGAAGCATCAGAAGTCGGGGACGTCGCAGATGTCTGAGATGGAGAAGCATCAGAAGTCGGGGACGTCGCAGATGTCTGAGATGGAGAAGCATCAGAAGTCGGGGACGTCGCAGATGTCTGAGATGGAGAAGCATCAGAAGTCGGGGACGTCGCAGATGTCTGAGATGGAGAAGCATCAGAAGTCGGGGACGTCGCAGATGTCTGAGATGGAGAAGCATCAGAAGTCGGGGACGTCGCAGATGTCTGAGATGGAGAAGCATCAGAAGTCGGGGACGTCGCAGATGTCTGAGATGGAGAAGCATCAGAAGTCGGGGACGTCGCAGATGTCTGAGATGGAGAAGCATCAGAAGTCGGGGACGTCGCAGATGTCTGAGATGGAGAAGCATCAGAAGTCGGGGACGTCGCAGATGTCTGAGATGGAGAAGCATCAGAAGTCGGGGACGTCGCAGATGTCTGAGATGGAGAAGCATCAGAAGTCGGGGACGTCGCAGATGTCTGAGATGGAGAAGCATCAGAAGTCGGGGACGTCGCAGATGTCTGAGATGGAGAAGCATCAGAAGTCGGGGACGTCGCAGATGTCTGAGATGGAGAAGCATCAGAAGTCGGGGACGTCGCAGATGTCTGAGATGGAGAAGCATCAGAAGTCGGAGACGTCGCAGATGTCTGAGATGGAGAAGCATCAGAAGTCGGGGACGTCGCAGATGTCTGGGATGGAGAAGCATCAGAAGTCGGGGACGTCGCAGATGTCTGGGATGGAGAAGCATCTTTGGAGCCATCACTTGAATTAGTAGAGCTATCACTGGCAGTTATTAAGGGAGAGGCTGTTGTGATTTTGGTTGAGAGAACAAAGAAGCCAAGTGTCAGAAGACAGTGCATTGGATAAAGAATGACAATTACTGTCAATTCTAATTAGTACTCAACAGTATTTTCTGGAAAAATGATATACATGGTTATGTTAAAAGTGGAAATATAGGACAACTTCTAAACACAAAAATTAAATAAAATTAAACAGACAAAAATGGGAAATGTTATCAAAAACTGTAACACCTAATATAGCTTATTGATGGCTATGGAGAACTTAGTGTAGAGTTGGGATGATAATATTTGTTATGAAGAGTACAAAGTTAGGAAAGGTGGTATATGTCTGTAGAGGCCAGCCTGGGCTACGTGAGGTCATGTCTCAAAACGGAAAACAAAAATAAGTACTGAACTTTGGAGACAGAGGGAAGAGGCTCAGGATTTCAAGGTCATCTTTTGCTACCTATCAAGTTTGGGTCTAGCCTGAGCTACAGAAGACCCTATCTTAATAAAAAAGAGATTAGTACCAAGTAAAAATAAAATTTATATCTCTAGTTAGGAAATTGTCAACCTGTGTTTAATAAATTTCCAGACAATTCATAGGAGGACAATTGAAAGTGCCTCAAGGTGGTGCTACTGCTACCAGGAAGTGGACTTTTTATGACTTTCAGTATTTTATGACAACTGCCCCAGTTCTCCACTGCAAGGCAGTTTTCTGTGCTGATAGACTGTAGAAGGGGAACTTTAGAAGGAAGTGTTTAAAGAATAATTACATAGATTGCATAGAAGTACTTCATTAAATCCTGATTAAAAGTTCTTCCAGGCTTTTTGTTTTGTTTTATTTTTGCTTTTTTGAGACAGGTCTTGCTATGCAGTCTAACTGACCTCAAACACACAGTCTTCCTGAGCACTGGCCCAGGTTTTTGGCTTTTTTTTTTCTGGGTTATTTCTCCACTAAAAAGTCTAGACACAGAATAAGATAAATAAGTGGCCCTTGTCTAAAGACTATAGTAGATATCAAAACTGCATTCGTGGCTCCTAGAACACCCAGGATGTTCACAAGAGTGACTTTTAGTGGCCCACTTCCTGGAACCCCTCTTATCTCTAAGAATTCTGATATTGATAACAGATTATACAAGTTAGTAAAAGAAACCCTTTGTGGGGAAGAAGCAGTTCCTATGCCCTGTGATACAGAATGATGAGATTCACTCTGACTTCCCCCACAGGCCTGGCAGTCCCTGGGGCACAGCCTGGCTCTTCACTTTGGACAGGGCTTGGCTACTAGTGCACTGCTCAGAAGTGACAAGGAGATAAGCGATTGTTCTTCT